GAGATCCATCGTCTGAAGATCACCAAAAACCCCAGCGAGAAAAAGATCAACGTAGCCATGGAAATCAACGAGGAGTTTACCGATGTTTACAATGGAGTGAAATTCAGGTGGTCTTTGGTTTCTAAGAAAACGCCGACGAGAGAATATTACAACAACGATGATATGAGCGGATCTTCCCGATCCGATATTCGATTTCTCGAGCTTTCATTTCATCGGAAACACAAGGATCTGGTGTTGAACGAGTACCTTCCGTTTATAATCAATGACGCGAAAACGAGGAAAAAAGAAGAGAAAAGCGTGAAGCTATTCACCATCGATACGAAGATGGCTTACTCCAGCTACCCAACGGTGTGGACGTCGGTGAATCTAGAACATCCGGCGAATTTTGACACGTTGGCGATGGATACAGATATTAAGGAGAAGGTGATGAAGGATTTGGATAGGTTTATACAGAGAAGAGAATATTATCGAAAAGTCGGAAAGGCGTGGAAGAGAGGCTACCTGTTGTATGGTCCACCGGGAACGGGGAAATCAAGCTTGATCGCTGCCATGGCGAATTACTTGAAATTTGACATATATGACTTGGAGTTGACTGATATAAAGTCAAACTCGGACCTGCGGCGGTTGTTGGTGGCGACGGCTAACCGGTCCATACTGGTGGTGGAGGATATTGATTGCTCTGTGGAGTTGCATGACAGGCTTGAAGCAGAAGCGGCGAAATCTTTAGCGAAAGAAATGCGACGGCGAGGTTATGCGGAAGAACGTAAGGTTAGATATTCGAAACTTTTGCGTAAGTATGAATAACTTTAATTATAGTATTAGTAAAGTAGCAAAATCTTTAATTATACACAATGAGTTTCCTTATAAAACGAGTAATCGTGATTTTAATAGTTAATGATAACTGAACTTAAAATTATATAATGAATATCCTTATAAAAATGCGATTTTGTCCGATTGACGTTTTTTAATGTATAAATGCAAGAAAATCATAACAGTCAATGATATATATAATATATTATATTATGAATATGAATATATCAATTTTTTCATCATTTAAAGCTTTAAACTATATTCATATAAAATATGTAATATGAAAAGGTGATGTATATTGTAATATTTAATAATTGTTTGGCCATAAATTACAAAAATAGTTTTTCTAAACGACCTACTCGATTGTAATGGGAAAAAAAAAAAAAACTATATTCAACTCAGTTAAAATGTAGTATATTGATTGTAATAATAAACAACTTTTCTCATTTTTTTTTTTTCATTCTAGTTAACTATTTGTTTTATTGTCATTCAATTGTGATTTAAATATGGATACGTTGTTTCTTAAAAAAATTTGCTTAGAATCATGAACATAATAAATTAATAACTATGCATTTTTCACAGGTAACTTTATCTGGATTTCTCAATTTTATTGACGGATTGTGGTCAAGTTGTGGTGATGAAAGGATTATCATATTTACTACAAACCGAAAAGATAAGCTCGATCCTGCACTTCTTCGCCCTGGTCGTATGGACATGCACATCAATATGTCATACTGCACTCCATGTGGATTCCGGTTGTTGGCCTCTAACTATCTTGGAATCACTGAACATGGTCTTTTTGAACAAATTGAGGATTTGATTAGTAAGGTGGAGATTACCCCGGCTGAAGTAGCAGAGCAACTACTGAAAGATGATGATCCTGACATTGCTCTCGAGGGCCTCATTAATTTTTTTGATGTGAAGAGGCAGGAGAATGAAGAGGCCAAAGCAAAGGCAAAAGAAGAAGAAAAAGAAGAAGAATTGGCCAAAGCAAAGGAAAATGAAAAAGAAGGAGAAGAAGAAGAAGAAGAATTGGCTGCAAATGAGAATGGAAAGAAGAAATAAGTTTAAAAAATAGATGATTTTATATTTTAAAATATATGAGTTTAGTCCGTGCAAATCATATGCAAAATCTAATTTATAAATTGATATTAATTAATAACTGAATTAAAGTTAAATATTTCGTTTTCAAGTCATAATTCACAGATCTATGATGATATAGTTTGAAGTTAATTTGTTTTAAATAGATATGTACTCGCATGAAATAAAGTAAATGTGAACGTTAGGCTAAACAACAATCCAATGTTTAAATTCATCTAAGCAATGAGTTAACACAAAAAGATGTTGCTATGTTAATTCTACAAAGAAGACAACACTCAACTCAAACATCTAATGCTAAGACTTATCTATTGCCCCTTAAGCCGCTCAAAGGCTACTTTCTAAAAAGTAATCCCTAAACATTAAACTTTTACTTTCTTAGGAATAAACTCGTAGTCAATTAATCTATTGACATCATTATTTTTAGCACTTACATGGCTTAAGCCTAAGTGCAACGTCAACATCTAATTCACCTACCCCCATACTATTAGCTTTTTAGGGAAACAATTCCCAATTTGCTAATCACTTTAAGCATAATTTCTATAAGCATTACACCACTTTTAGGTCTAGGTATTACATCAATACCTAATTCACATCAACTGATGTTCAAATTCGAATGCTTAAATCTCTATAAATCCTAAGAAGTGGAAAAAGAAAATAGAATATGTATAATATCACTAAAATTGGAAATCTCATATAATGGAAATTGATTTGGTTAAAATCCCAAATATTAGTCTAATAGAGCAAGCACAACCCAAATTCAACCATAAATAAATAATTGCACTAAGTCTTTCTTTTCGTTTAATGCTAGGTTTAAAAAAACATTAACCGGATGCGATAACTTCAAAATCCGCAACTTGCTATTATGTAATGTTTTCTTTTTGTCCCGACTGGTTTCTTGCTAGTCTGGGTTTTATTATATAAAATTATCGTTCGAAAAAAAATTGCAAGATAATATCCTCAACAACATAAAAAAAAATATATGGTGGTATGTGTGTTATGATCTTCCAAAACATTTTTTTTTTTGCATAAACAATGTGTCGTTGTCACCGCAACTTTTAGCATGAAGTGTTACGTTTGACTATGTTGTATTAGGCATTATTTTCCATTTATGCAATCTATTTTCCATTATTGTTGCATATTTATTAGCTTATTTGGAATCTAAAAATATAATTAATTTTTGGATAACCAATGTATTGTTTTCACCACAACTTGGAAATGTCGCATTTGACTGTATTGTATTAGGTATTATTTTCCTTTTATGCAACCTATTTTCCATTGTTGTTGCATATTTATTTGTTTATATGGAATCCGAAAATATCATTATTTTTTTGGATAAACAAGGTGTTGTTGCATAAATAATGTGTTGTTGCCACAACTTTTAATAAGAAATAGTGTGTTTGACTTTGTTGTATTAGGCATTAATTTCCTTTCATGCAACCTACTTTCCATTGTTGTTGCATATTTATCAATTTATATGGAATTTGAAAATATCATTAATTAATTTTATAGTTATTAGGACTCATAGTTTATAAGGAATGTTTTGTTAAAGCTTGTTTACCTTGGTTATTTGGGAAAGATACGTATTAACAATTTATTAATCCAAAAACAATTTTTTATGTCATGATTTTAAGGACGTTACAAGTTTACTCTTAAATGAATATGTTGAGTTACATGCTGCAAAAGTTAAATAATCTTAGAGTGATGGATTTGGTCATATTGTGCAGCTCTTTTCTGAGTCCAACCATTGTACAGTTGAGTTTTTAGTCTAAGATTATTTAAGTTTTGTTGTATGTGATTGTATTTATGAAGTAGTTAGCTAAAATTAATAAGGATCTTTCAACAATTGATAGCAGGGTGAGGTGGGGATTCTAGGAGTGCCTAGGAAGTGCTTTAGTATGAATGGTGCACTGTTTAGTGGGTTTTGGGAGTATCATTATGAAGACGTAAACTAGAAGATTCGGGTTGATTCTTGAGGAAGGTATGGATAGGTAGGGAAGGTAGTATTGGCACCATACCATTGGAAGCACAAGATCCATACTCGAATCGAGGAAAGTCACGAGGATTCTAAGAAGCCAGTAAAGGATTGATTTGTGGGTTTCAATTTAGTGGGTAAAGTGTGATGGACTAATGATGACATTTTGGTTATGAAATGATAGTTTGGTCTTGTTTAATAGGATATCGATGTCTGGGAGGGAAGCAGATTCCTCCAAGATTTATATAGATGACACAGAGTTACATGATTGGATTACCACTGAGGTTTCATAGATATTATTAAAAGAGTTTACTGGCATTGTTGGTCGAATCACTAGCAATCCTATTGCCAAGTTCAAGGAGCGAACTATAGCCTTTCAAACTGTAGGAGAGACTGTTGAGGCATCTAAGGGGAGAGGTCTTGATGTGGGAACGCGACGCAGAAAGAGAAAGTGGATCATGATTTAACATTTGCAACGATTGACAAAGATTTAGAGGTTGCTAGCCTGGGTACTGTAAGTCAGGGGGATTCTGATATTTGCGGAGAGTGTGGTGGAACCCATGGGTTTTCTTGCCACAAGTTCAAATGCTACAATTATGGAGATAAATGGAATGTTATTCACGATTTCAAGAAGGGTTGGACATGTTTTCACTGTTACAAGTTGGGTCATCTCAAACCCGACTGTCCTACATGGGTAGTGGAGGGATTGCAAGCCCCAACACCCATCATCCGATAAGAGTTCAAGGTTGGATTGCAAGAAATCACAACTATGAATTTTGATCTTCAAGTTTTATCTAGAATGAATATGTATTTTATTAGTGAGGTTTCAACAAATGGATAGTCATTTGTATAGCTAGCATGTTAGAATTATAATGTTAACATTTGTAGGTTCTAATGGATCAGGGATTCAGCCTTCACGATGCTTCATAAATCCAAGGGTATGTGGATCTTTCGTGAAGGGTTAGAAGTTGTAATGTTGGAAAAGTTTCTAACATCTCCATCTAAGATTTAGGATTCTTTGCGATTACTGACTATTATTTAAAGAATTGTCATATGCCATTTTGCATACCAAGAGTAGTGTTTAGAGGGTATTTGGATGAACCGGTTTTAGGATTCGACATGGAAGGTGTCGACCAATGAGGGAGCAAGCCTTAAGTGGGGAAGGACTGAGTGTTCTGCTTGAAGGATTGGAAAACATATTGATTTTTATGGTTCCAGCACAATGGGTCGGTGGAAGTTGCAATGTAAGTTCGGTGGATTTCTGGTGTTCGAGATTGTTGAGATATTTTATGATGGAGAGGATTAAGGGATTGATTAGAAGGGGGTGCAGGGTGAGTTGTTGCCTGATTAATGCTTTCCAGTTTGTGCGTGTAGTCCTTGCATCAGAATATTCTAGACAATATTTTTGTTGTAGCCGGTTGTCTCTTCTTAGACAACGAAACAGAGTTAAGAGGAGCGTGTGTAACTCAGGTTGAATATTAATTGAAGGGTTAGTTAGCTCGTCGAACCAATCACCATCCTTGGTAAGTGTATAAATATTGTTGATTATCAACCTACTTCAAGGTGTGGTGAATGCAATTTCGCATGGGTTTGGTTCGGTGGTTGAGAATGTTTGAGAATTTTTGAGTTGTATTAGTTGGTGGCGCTATGAGTGCATTGATATTTCATCAAGTGTAGATCAATGGATATTTTGGACCCATGCTTAGAATATCAAAGCGACATTGACCAGTTTTCTAGAAGGACTTTGGATCTACTATTGGTTGATCGTATTAGTAGGGTTGGAAAGGAGTCAACCTGATATTGGTTCTGATAGCGTTTTTGTTAATTAAGAATCTCCTTCAAATAGGAAGTTTGGTTTAATAAGTTGAGCATTTATAGGATTTGTCCGATTAGTTAAGATTGATATATTACTTTGAGAAGGTTTTATGGTTTGAATGTTTATTGATATGGATTGTGCTCACACGTTGGAAATCTTAAGGTTTGGACGCTATGTATTGTGAGCATATAGTATAATTCTTGAAGACGTTAGGGATTGGTTGATTCCAAGTGGGGGAGAACTGCTTGGGAGTACTAGAAATATTTTCAAGTGCGGATTAACTTGGAGTTTGTATCTAAGGACAATATGATAGTTGGTTTTTGGTTGTAGTATGAGCAAAGGTTTACATATGGAATAGTATTCATTAGTCGGTCAAAATCATGAAATCAGAGATTAAGGATTTAGGTTATCTCGTTTAGGTACATGAGGCAGATGTAGGGATGATTTTTGGATCCATGGCTAGGTTCAAGATATGTTACATCCCGATGATAAGGTAATTCTAATTTTGACCCTATAACTTTATTATATTGAAAATTGGACCCTAAGTAAAAGAAAGTATGCAATGAAGACCCTAGTGGCAGTTTTGTAATATTGGGTTTGGGGGAGTATGTCATGTGTACATGTGTACGCTGAGCATATTAGGGCGTACCTTAGTACGTTGGATGTATATTTACCCAGGGCATACGTGCCAGACATGAAAACCCTAATTTTTAGGGTTTGGCTCATATTTAAACCCCATTATAGCCTCATTTCCCCTCGTGCATCAGCCTCCATCCCCTTGATACGTTTTTGCAACCCTAATCCATCTTGTGAAGCATTTCTAAGATTGTAAGTGTGTATTTTGTAATTTGAAGAAGATGAAAGGAAAGAGAGACCACCTTAGAGGAGTGAAGCTCTTTAGATCCAGGATCACACCACCTTTTGGCACCATTTTGAGGTCTCAAGTTCTGAACTTGGTGATGTTTCACTTAGATCTTGTGTTGGAATGATTTTTTTGGTCCTTTTTGTCCCAAATATGGAGATTCATGAACATAACATGTTCTTGGCCCATTAAGTTGTCCTTTCAAACCTTTAGATGGGTCTTGAGTCATAAAATGGGTTCCAACTGGTTGGTTTTGCTCCATGCATCATTTAGAAGGTCTTAAGGGATTAAGAATTTGAGTTAAGCACTTAATG